TTCCTCCTGTTCCTCCTCCTCCACTTCCTCCTCTTCCTCCTCCTCCTCCTCTTCTCCTGCTCCTCCTCTTCCTCCTCCTCCTCCTCTTCCTCCTCCTCCACTTCCTCCTGCTCCTCCTCTTCCTCCTGCTCCTCCTCCTCCTCTTCCTCCTCCTCCTCCTCCTCTTCTTCCTCCTCCTCCTCCTGGAGGAGCCTATCCAGGCCTCCCTGGCACATAGTACCCAGGTTCTTCTTGAGCTCCTCTCTACAAAGCTGGAAGATTCTGAACTGGTCTTAGTACAGCCCAAAGTCAGCCTTCCCTGCCTGACCCCTCCTTTCTGTGAAGCTGCCTGACCCCCAGAGGGCTGCAGGAGGCCTGGCACTGTGACCCACCAGCCCGGTCAGTCTGGTGCATTTGCTGTGCGGCCTGCGACTGCACTTCAGCTGTCAACAGAGGATGCTTTCCGTCGATCTGCTCCTTGACCCCTTGGCTAGGCCTGCCGAGCCGGCAGCGGCACTGAGGGCTCCTCGGGACCGGGGGTTAGCCGGCAGCGGCACTGAGGGCTCTTCGGGACCGGGGGTTAGCCGACTTTGCCCTGCACCTGTCCTCTCAGCAGCTGGAATTTGTCCAGGTGTTGTTGAAGCCCCCTTCACCACCCCTCATGTCACAAGACAGCGCTGGGGCTCCAGCACCTGAGCCCCTCTATTTAGGGGGGCGCCTCCCTGCCTGCTCCCTGGTCGCCTGGCAGGGGCTCTGGGTTAGGGTCACAGCGCTCTCCAGGGGCACTATGCCGTCAGCCAGGGACGTCAAGCAGGGTGGCCCTGCAGTGCCTGGCGAAGGCTGCCAGTGCCTTCCTTGCTCAGAAGCATTCAATAGTGCCCTGGCAATGCAAATGATTCTCTTCTTCCTTCTCCTCCTCCTCCTTATTTTTGAGATAAGGTCTCCCTTTTTGCCCCAGACCAGCCTAGACCTGTTCCTCCTGTTGACCATTTCTGTGACAGCTGGGATGACGGGTATATACCGCCATGCCCAACACTGTTGTTGAGATGGGTCTTGCAGTGTTTGTTTTTCTTATGCCTGCCTGGAACCTCAGCCCCTGGGTGAGGTGCTGCCAGGCTCGACTGCTGGTGGAAGTGGAGCCTTGTGAACTTTCTGCGGAGGTTGTCCTTCTGATCTCAGCTCTGAGTGCTAAGATCACGGGCGTGAGCCCCCACCCGGCAGGAACAAGCTCTTCATGGCATCATCCGAGCAATTCCCTCGCGAATCAGTTGCTTGGCGGTGTCATGTATATGTTCTGTTGGCTGCATCCACCGCTATGAGGCCTGCCCTGTACCAATCAAATTCATTTAGTCCTCCCTCTGCCATGACGTGTCGGTAGGTACCCTCCCCATTGCTTGTTGGAGTGCCTGATCTGCTGAAAGCAGCCCTCTCTGCTGATAAAGCAACATAACTTTAGCAGGACACTGGGCGCAGTCTGCGGGACACGGACAGAGGCCCTGCCAGCAACCCACAGCCTGGGCCTGCTGTGAGGCCTTTCAGACTCCGTCAGCTTTCCGGGGCCCCAGAATGTGGTTCCACTCTTGCCTTTGTTGTGTTGCAAATTAAAATACCTAGGCTGTAACGTGCCATGTAGTCGGAAAATGGAAATTAATTTACTAAGTGGGCATAACCACCACTGGCCAGAGCCCGGCCTTGGCGCAGGCTTTGGATGTTTGGCACCTGGGACGCCAGAAAGGTTATAATGAGAGGGTCCTACCAGCGTACAAGTGTGCTGCTTCATCTCCCGGAGCCCCGCCAAGGACTCACAGAAAGAGCGCCCCTCCCTGCCCTCGCCCACTCTCTCTTCTGCCATCAGTAGGGTTGCAGCTGTCTAGACAGTTCTAGAATCAGCACACCCACGAAGGAAGGGAGAGGTTCCACAGCTGTGATGCTGAGCATCAGAAGATGCTACCGTTCATCAACTAGAAGCTTCTGTTTTGAGCCGTCTCTTTGTTCAGGCTTGTCAGCAACTATGTGACTGAAATGGGCTGCGGGACTCCGTACAGCCAAGCTTCTCTGCAGTCTTTGTTTGGGAGCAATAGGCTGGGCCCTGAAACATTTTCCAAGTGGATTTTGAAGTAGATCCATTTACCTTCCCTGATGGCAATCAAAACTAAAAGGCCTACAAGCCTGCTCCTTCACTTTGCAGGGTGTTGGCCACAGGTCTCATCTGAATGGATGCGTAAGCATCCATAAAGGTCCATGAACTTGGTAGCAGCAATGTATGTTTCATAAACCTGCCTGGATCTCTGCTCACTCTCATCTGTCTGTCGAATCTTAGGTGTGGAAATGCCCCCCTGGATCACCTGCCCCTGAACAGAATAACCACCATGAGGAAAAGGTTCAGGTCAGCACTCTCTGATTGTCCGCTGGGGTTGTGCAGGGCGAT